TGAATTTTTGTATTTATCTCTCATTCTTTATTTCTCTTTATCTTTTAGTTTATTTCTATTTTATTTTCTCTCTCCAGAAAATGTTTTCTTAAAGATTTTATAACTTGAGCAAGTCGCCCATCATTGGGCTGACTTTGTCTAATTTTAAATTTATTTATTTTGGTGGTTTAATAGGTAACTAAATTCTTAATAATATTTATTTTAAAAATTTACCCTTACATTGACTGTCTGTTTATTTCTTTTTAGTTTAGCTGTTAGTTGTTCAATTTCTGGAAATATATTAATTCCAATAGCTCAAAAACTTTGGCTGCTTTTGCTCTGCTAGGGTTTCTTCCCGCCGCCCCTTCCCGGTTTTGAGCTCTCTTCTTCACCCCTTCCTCCGGCGGTTGCCGGAGGACTTCCTTCTTCTTTTTCTTCATGGAGCCTCCTTCTTTGTCGGATTTCCCTCCCCTGGCTGGACATGCAGGGGCTTCTTCCTCTTCTGCTCCTGCGCGGGTTTGGAAGCATATCGTGGTGGACTCTGTCCCCATCTCTAAAGATTTACCTCTATCTTTTCTTCCTCTAGAACCAGAGATTATCCCTTTTGCTGGTGAGCGTCTTGTTAAAGGTGCAGAGAACTGGAATCTCTGTCTCGTTGGTTACTCTATAGGAAGGCGTCCCTATTATGAAGCTCTGCTTGGAGCAATCAAAAAAACTTGGTCTTTGAAAGGTTCCATGCAACTCCTTTCTCTGTCTGATGGTTTCTTTCTTCTTCGTTTTTCCACTTCGGAAGACTATGAGATGGCTTGGTCGAAGGGTGTTTGGTTCTTCTTAGGTCGTCCCTTTCTCCTTCAAAAATGGTCACCTAAATTTCGTCCCAAACGTGAAAACTTCACATCTATTCCTATCTGGGTCAAGATCCTGGATCTGCCTTTGGTCTGTTGGAACTCCGAAGGAATTTCACGTATAGCTAGCAAAATAGGGATTCCGTTAGCAGTCGATGCTCTTACTGCTCAAAAAACTCGTCTCACCTTTGCAAGAGTTTGTATACAAGTTGATGCTTCTGCTACTTTTCCTGAGGAAATTCCTATCTCTATTGAGGAAGATGTTTTTAGCCTAAAAATACAATATGAATGGAAACCCACCATTTGTGAGCACTGTAAATCTTTGGTGCATCCCTCCTCGGCTTGCCCCACGAAACCGACAGAACAGCCCAAAAATATTCCCTCTAATGCTCTTCCGCCTCCTTCTTTTCGTGGGAGAAGTAAGAGTAGAAGACCACAAGGTAGGAATGTGTCCTCATCTTCGACTATTCCTCCTTCTATCATCCCGCCTTCCATCATTCTATCGGAAAACTTTACTGCTGTTGCTCAGCCTAGTAAAGAAGCTGTTGAGCCTCCTAAGGCTCAGTCTAATTCGGTGGTTCATACTTCTTCGAATCCTGTTATTGATACTCCAATCTCCATTACACTACCCCCTCCTGGTTCTGATATTCCTCTAGCAGAACCCCAGCTTCCGCACATACCCAACCTTAACTCCCCACAGGAAGAAACTTCTTCCTCAACATCACCCCAACTACAGAGCAACAAAAACCCCGTCACAAAAATTCATTCCCCCAACAAATTTGATGCCTTGAAATCTTTGGTGGAGGATAATGAGAATTGCACTGAGGATGCTTCTCTGGATACTGACGCCTCGACCAGGGCAAAAGAAAAGGATAAAGCCATTTTGCAATCGGGTAAGCAAAGCAAGAATGTGAAAGGGAAGCAAGCCAAAAAGGGCTCTTCAACCAACAGGTAACTATGTCTGTGCCTTCTATTGCTAGCTGGAACATTCGGGGTTTCAACAGCCCAGACAAGGTTTACTCTTGTAAACGACTTATTTCTGCTTTCCAACTGGACCTTTTATGTATTTTGGAGACTCGAATTCTTCTGCCTTCTCTTCTCAATCCCTTCTTCTGTGATTCTCATGTCCTCTTCCCTGCTGAAGGATCTTGCCACAACTTTAACCTTGCTACTCCTGGTCGAATCTGGATCAAATGGAACGCTTCTAAAATCAACTTTACCCCCACTAGCATCACTCCCCAATCCATTTCGGGTTTAGTTGAAGGTTCCAATTTCACGTCTTTTTTGTTAACTGCTGTTTATGCTGATAATGAGAGAGATAGCAGGATCTTACTCTGGGATTCTATCAGGAATCTTGTTATTCCTCCCACTCAGCCCTGGATTCTTCTTGGTGATTGGAACTGTTGCAGGTTTGCCACTGATAAAATGGGGGGGTCTTCTTTAACTCACAATAACTTGGGGGAATTAAACTCTCTCATTTTTGATACCAATCTGGAAGAAATGAATTCTGTGGGGAATAATTATACTTGGTTCAATCAGCGTATTAGTAATCCAATTCATATTAAATTGGATAGAGTTTTTGTGAATGGTGATTGGATTACTTCTTTTCCTTCTTCTTATTACTCTGTGCAAGCCCCGTCTTGCTCTGACCATTGTCCTCTTGTAATTCATTCCCCTAAGATTTCTACTGCTCATCATAGGTTCCTTTTTAAAAATTATTGGACTAATATTGATGCTTACTGGTTCATTCTTCTTGATGTCTT